TTGATTCAGGAAGGAGCTTGAGAATAAGCTACTTGTTATAAGGAAGAAGAGGTATCTTCTATTTAAAAAAACCCACATATGGATCTGGAAAAAAAACAGATATTCTTCAGAGATTGTAGTGGGAACAATGGAGATTAAGTTGTGAGAATACAGTACAGTATTGGGAAACGTTTGATGGGAAACACTTGAGATCCTGCTGAAGTCTAACAGGCCTGGGGAGCAGATGCTTTTCACCTACATCAATTGTGCTGTTACTCTGGATGTGTCATAATGGGGCTGACACATTTCCTTCTTGTTACATGCCTCAGTTTGAAAACCATGGTCCTGTCTCGGGCCATGTTGAAAATCAGTTTTGAGGAGGGAGAGGCTGAGGCAGCTTCTGGCATTGGGCCTCAGCATTGGATGCCCTATAGTTATAAACCAACTGCGTGTTTGGAGAAGATAAAGAGAAAAGAAACAGGACATTGCTAGACTTATCTTTTAAACAGAGGTGAGCAGATGCACCTGCTACTACTGAAGAATACTATTCAACTTGATTTTAGATAGCTTTGCTCATGCAAACTGTACCCCCAAACTGCTTACAGGATTGTTTAATCCAGAGCTAAATGAAAATAATAACTGAGATTAAGAGAAATTAAAAGGCCTCTGCAAGGGAGAAAAGATAGTTCACCACATGACATTACTCTGGTCAATCTCTTTTTTGGTCATTACTCATTTCTCTGGTCAATCTCTTTTCTGTCAATCTCTTTTCAAATCTCATTTTACATGGGACTGATTTATCACTGTGTTACTCCAGTTTTACCCTGATTTCCATGGAGTTACTGATTGGAAATCAGGGTAAAAGGGATTGACAATCAATGACACAGAGAGAGAGACAGAGAGAATTGCAGTGAATTTGACTTGGAGGCTTAGAATATATAGTAGATTCATGGATTCTTAGATTCCAAGGCTAGAATGGACCATTGTGATAATCTAAGATGCCCTCCTGTATAACACAGGCCACAGAATTCCCCCCAAATAATTCCTAGAGCAGATCTTTTAGAAAAATATCTGATCTTGAATTAAAAATTGTCAGAGAAGGAGAATCCACCCTGAACTTTAGAAATGTGTTTATGCTACACTATAGATAATTAGCCATGAATCAATGACCCCATCTTTGCTCTCTGATATCGAGATCACTGCATTCTTACTAAATGATCAGTTAGACAAAAAGCAGAGACTCAACTCTTAGCTGAGGCACACAAGAGGTTAAGTAAGAAAATCGAGGAGTGTACAAAGTTAAGAAAATTAAATAATATATCGAAAAGACATGAATTAGTAATAGATTCCAGCGCTTATTAGAAAAAAGAGGGTGCAGCCTCAGAAGTCAAAGAAACTCCAGTCATTTATGAGGTAATTGTGGATAGTCTTAGTGAAGAAGAAACCAATGGAGGGGAAAAAGGAGATAACAGAGATTATGTGAACGAAGCTAAATTATTAGGATCTTTTGATTCCCAGACAGCATCACGAGCAGTTGACTATACTGCTTCAGTTAGGGTGACCAGACAGCAAGTGTGAAAAATCGGGACAGGGGGTGGGGGGTAATAGGAGCCTATATAAGAAAAAGACCCAAAAATCGGGACTGTCCCTATAAAATCGGGACATCTGGTCACCCTAGCTTCAGTTAACAACAATGTAAAGCCTAGTAGAATTATGTCAGAATTAGCTGAGGTAAAGTTTTTAAAGCCTACAA